AGTGGTTCAGGGACCGGGGAGAGGGGGAGGACGAAGCGGTGACGCCGACGGGGGCCAAGCCGACCCCGCAGGCGGGGGAACCCGGCCGGGGGTTGGGCGCCGGGGCCCGGGAAGCGGCGCCGCGGGAATTGGGCTCGGGCCCCGCCCGGCCGCCGCCCGTTGCCATGGAAACTGCATCCACAGGTAAGGCCGGCGCTGCCGACCCGCTAACGGGGTTGGGGACCCGCGCCCCAGTCGGGCCCCGGGTGCTGGGCTCTGTGCTCCGCCCTCGCTCTCCCCACGTAGAGCTCCCACCTCACGCCCGCTCTGCCGCGGACGACCGGCAATATTCTCGGACTTGGGGGAAAAAAACAGCAATTTAATTTGTGCAAAGGTTCAGAAGCCAAAATGCTATTGATCTTTTTATTTCATTATTATTTCAGCTTTAAATGTTGTCCTTATCGGCAAGCCACAGTGTCCTGCGCCCAGGAAGTTTCTTCCTCCGGTAGGGGGTTGGGGCTCTAGGGCCGTTTGACAGGTTGTGATGATTTTGGGGGGCGTGTTTGCGCGTAGCGTGCGCCCCAGCGACCGGAGACTCTGACAACAAAGGGGCAGGCAGGCCAGCAGCCCCAGACCCCGCTAGGTTCAGGGCAGAGAAGTGACTTTAACTCTCCTTTGCCCTTTCAAAAAGCCTCCAGGAGTCGCCACACCCTACACCCTCCCATCCTCCACCGTCCCCTCTCTCAGTGCAGAAAACAAATCCCGGAGAGCGCGTGCCTCACTGGAGAAGGACAGCGTGGCAAGCGAGTTGGGCGCAGTGGCTGCCCCAGCCCTTCCCCGATGCCCGGATGCCCCCTCAGGCCCGGAGCGTTGAAACTTGGAAACCCGAAGGGCGGTGGACCTGGCTGCGGGTTGGAGGGCTTGGGTGGTGGTGAGCGGACGCGGCCCAGTTTGCCCGCAGTTTGGACCCGCCTGGGCGTTTGGAAATTGCCCTGGGTTTGGCCTTCCTCGGCCTGACGCCCCCTTGGAGTCCCCGCGCGCAGCTGCCGGCGGGAGCCTGCAGACCCCGCGCATCCGGCCTAAGGATGCAAAAGGCGCGCTTTGGGGAGGGGATGCCGGCCTGCTCAGCGTGGTTTGCAGGGAGAGGGGAGAGGTGTGTCATGCAGTGCTGTTCCCCAAGAAAGCTTTGCTGCAGCGGAGTGGGAGTTGTGTTGTTTGGGCAATGTAGGTTATAAGGCCTGGGCTGGTGGGTGCCCACGGGGAGGGGGAGGAAGGCGGACCTGCGTGTGTGCGCTTGGAACCTGGAACCTGACGGGAACCTCCTTCGTTAGCCACCGCTTCTCTTAAGGTTTTCGTGGAGTGCTATAGGTAACCTTAACTATGCCTTAGTACAAAAGATCTGAGCTGGGGAAAGGAGGGTTGGGGAGTACGTTGAATAAAATTTGTCAGTATTCTGAAGGGAAGAGAAAAATTGGAGACCACATACAAACAAAAGAAGAAGAAAGAAAAGTGGGCCAAAAAAAAAAAAAAGACTCAAAAGCCAAAAACCCCATTTGTCATATATTATATTTCTGGGGACAAGGGAGGAGTAACCTCTTTTGGAACTTCTGCATCCTGATGAAGACAAAACAAGTCTTTATCGCCAAAAAAGAAGAGGGCAAATGATAATAGACAAAGGAAGGTGGCTTTTGTCATTACGGTTCTTTGTTGAGGGTAGTTCATAGTTCAGAACCTTCATCCATGGTAATTAAAGTACATTTGTTCTCTCTGAACATTGCCTGCTGCCCCTTAGTGTCACCAAGGGTAAGTGAACTAGGGAAAGGCCGCTAAGTGTCTGGTGTTCAGTAGCACACCATCCACTAAAATGAGTAACTACAGAAAATGCTCGGAATACGTATTTATGGAGTACGGTGTGATACTTTGACACATGTCTGCATTGTAGAATGATGAAATCAAGCTAATTAGCAAATCCATTACCTCACATACTTGTGTATGTGTGTGTGTGTGGTGGAAGCATTTAAAATCTACTTTTATAGCAATTTTGCAATATACCATTCATTGTTAGATGGTGGTGACTATAGTAAATAATAGAGGCTTTACCATTTTTAGCATTAAAATATTTTGCATTTGTGAATGTGTTAGGAGTTTTCTATGCTAGGCAGAAAATACACTGATAACCACACATGGTACTAAGTTTGGGAGGGAGGAGAATGAAGAGAGGTGGAAGGAACACATATTTTGCATATTTATACAGAATTTTTTAAACATTATTGCTGGCTTGAAGGGATTTCTTGTATACGTGTTTATTGGTTAATGTTTCAAATCTGTATGTTTCTTATTAAGTATACTGGGTGGACTGATATAGGTGACTTAGATGCTAGAACTATGTCTTTAAAAAAAATAATCCCCCCAAATCTGGGCCAATTTCCTGACTGTAATTTTGGCAGTTCTGTTACAAGGAGCAAAGTCAGCAGGTGAAACCTCAGCTGTATCAAGACTACATCCAGAGGGTGCCTATTAAGCATACTACTTTGTAATTTTTATTTGCTTTTTTGAGGGTTCTACAAACAAAATTTTTTTTTCTCACAGTGATGGAGACTCAGAACTCTAAGATCAAGACTTAGGTCCTGGCAGATTGGCTGTCTAGAGTGGGTCTGCTTCCCAGTTCACAGACAGCCACCTTTTGGCTGTGTCCTCTCAGAGCAAAAGATTGCTTTATTTTTATTGCACAAGTGAGGCTCTCTGGGATTTAACTCATGAAGTAACTTAGACTTTGAATGTCATTCACTGTAAACAGATTTTGTTTCTTTTTCAGATGGAATATTAAAGTGTAAGATACTGATGTTTAAAAAATGATTTTTTTTCTGGAAAACATTACCAGTCGTGCCATCTGGACAAAAATTCTGTTATTTATTTTTATACATTGATAATTATTAAATTTCCCAAAGAAACATTTTTAAAAACATTTCTCAGTAATGTCCTGGAACACACGTATGTTTAAATATCATTAAAGCCACACTGTAAAGCTCCATCAGTATTGTATTTCCAGTTATTCTCATTGCTCCTCTCCCTTGTGTGGCATGGGTATGTTCTGAACAAAGAGTAACACTATCTCTTAAAGCTATAATTTTTCATGTCCAAAATTGATAATGGCATGCAATGTGATGTCTATTGCCAAGGAAACATTTAATGTGCCCATAGGCTGCAACGTGTTAGAGTTGTCAATCTGAAACAGTGTTATAATCTAACAACTTCATACAAAGGCTGTTAAGAGCGACTGTTTTGCTTTATCATGATCAGTGATTTTATTCCTGGAAACTATTCAATAGGCGCATACAATAACAAAAGGAAAGAAGAATGGCCCTTTGTTTAAAGGAAGAATTTAAAATAGAACATTTGAACAAAATGAAATGGTGAGAAGTTAACTCATTACCCACTTTGGGAATTAACTCACTGACTGCTTCATTTTTGAAAAGCAGGATGAAGAATTGTCAGGAGACATCAATTCACTGTGACGTGCTTTGGAAATATTGACTTCTAGATAATTTGACTTAAATTCCTAGATAATTGCAAGTTTTTTATAATTTATTTGGACCACAGTGCTCATAAATTTACCATTTTCAAATGCTAAATGGGATGCTCCATTGGAAAACCTATTTTTCAGTCTATCATGATTTAAATAACTTCCAGTATGTTTAATGTATAACTTGTGTTTATTCTGTCTAATATAAGACATCTAGAGAATCATAACACATTACTAAACATCTTCTGAAGTCTGTTTGGGGGCTGGATTGGTTATGTTCACTTTTAGATGTGTTTGAAAGAACTGTGGATATTTTTTATTTGGAGTCATTTCTGGGTAATCCCTCCACAGGGTGTAAATTTCAGACTTGTGTTTCCTTTACCTTTGGAGAAAGCTACAGTTTTGTTGAAATGGTACGGACTATTGCTTTACAGTCTTTAAGGCATGCTCAAGAGATATAAAAGAGTTTGGAAACATACTACAATTTATTTCTCCAAATACAGCCTCTAGATACGATCAATATTTCTGGCAGTAAGTAAAATATATGTCCTTTAATGTAGGGAATTCAAATAGATTACATTAAAATTAGAAATGCTTACATACTTAAAATACATGTTTACGTCGTATAATAGATATATCATCATGGCTTGCAGCATCACCTCCCCTTTATGAACTTGCTGATCCATAAAATTCACCCTACTCATTGCCTCTTAAATATACCTACCACTGGTGTCTCGCCCCCATCTCTTTTCTAGGCCATCCATCTACGTGGGCTTCTGAGGGATTGGAGGGATTGGTTATCTTGCCCATTTTTTATCTATATTAGGTAGCCTGGATTACAGAAATCTTTGCAGTTATCTGTAAAGATAGAAACCGTTGCAGTTCAGTTCGGCTTAGTGAACGTTTATTGACTGTCTCCTCTGTGTAAGGATCTGAGCTAAGCACAGCCCATGGCTTTCTAAAACACGTGCGCCTTCCTGGTTAACATTGGGATTTACTTTAATCAAACAGTTCCTTTTCTGTCGTTTTTCATCTTCTTTATTCTCAAGTCATTGCTGGAAGCTTGACTAGAAGGGCCTCATAATAATCTAACCCTAAGGGCACAGGGCATGAGTTAGTTTTCTGAGTTCAACACAGGAGAAATAAATATCAGCACAGCTTGTTCAAACCACATGTGTGTGAAAAATAAAATCTCTTTTCTTTCTGTCATCTGTCTCATTTCATACATCTTTGTAGAAATAACTGTGGCTAAATATTACACCAAGATCTTCGGATCAGTTGTGATTTTATTTGAAAATTAAATTATTTTAATAGTTTAATAGACTAGTGAGTTTTGAAAAGGGTACCAGAAAATTTAGAGGGCAGTGAAATTAAAAGACATTTTCAACAGACTGATATATCCACACAGGATTGCTCTCCACTGAAGTCATTATAAAGAACATGGTGAAAAGTGAAAGGAAAAAAACCCTCAATATTATTAAACAAATAATACCTGAAGGTAAAGAGAATAGTGAGAAGAGCATGAACCAAGAGGCCCACTGTTTGTGGAAGATGCTTGGTGGTAGTATGTGAGAAAAGAGAGGAAATAGCTTTTTGGTTCATATTTAGTCTGTGTGATTTTAAATGGACAGTGATTCCTAAGTTGCAAAATCTAAAACACACAAAAAGAGAATTGAAGCCC